GTTCAAACCCACCAGCCACTCCTCGGAAGGAAGATGGGGCAATCTACTTCCGTAGTGATACCGCCTCAGAAACCCAAGGAGGGGTCTCTATGAGTCGGGTCTGACTCAATGGCACATAACAACAACAGGAATCGTTATAGACGAATCTTAAAGAGCATGTTTGAGGATATAACCCAGTAACCTCCATTAATACTACTGCTTGAGAAACATTTCTTGGTGATGCTGAAAAGGAGGATAGCAGGCTTTTCATAACACAAACTATTAAAAGTTCATCTTTAAAAATATTTGTATGTACATATATATTCCTTTGGAATGCTGTGGATTTGTTCATGAAGAAGGAAGGGTAGAGTCACATGGAGGGCTGTAGCCTTTTATCAGGGCTTAGGAGCTTTTAGTATTTTACAGCCAACATTAAATGTTCATTTCAGTAAGTATAATTTCCTTACCTTGATGATTTTTGAAGGGAAGGATGGCTGGTAATTCTATGTATTAAGTAAATAATAACATGAACCATGAAGTCGGGGTGATATTTTTCACTATGGTGTGTCTGATGCCCTCTGAACCAAACCAAAAACCCGCTGCTGTTGAATCAATTCCAACTCATAGCAACCCTATGGGACAGAGTAGAACTGCCTCATAGGGCTTGCAAGAGTGTAAAACTTTATGGAAGTAGACTGCCACATCTTTCTACTGTGGAGCAGCTAGTGGTTTCAAACTGCTAACTTCCTGGTTAGCAGCCGAGTGCTTTAGCAAATACTAGGTTTTCAGTAAACCAATGTTGTATAAATGCATGAGTGACAAATATCTTAATGCCAGAGACAAAAATGAGTGCCATTCTAGACACTAAACCTATCATTTGTAGGACTTGTTTTACAAATCTCTTTAAATTTCCAAATAACCATATTTAAATATTCATGCATAATTGCCAGTTCCTTTTTTTTTTTTTTTTTAATTGCCTCCCCTTAGCTTTTTTAATTGGCCTCAGATTTTGATAGATTCTGCAGCTTCCCAAGCAGTGGGCAGGTATTTAGGCCTGCAAACTCCTGATCAGGCCAATCCAGTATTAGCAGAGACTAGACCAGGAGGTCACTGATTGTCTCTTTGTTCTGCTGTCTATAAAATGATAGAAGATTCTGGCATAGCCTCGCAGACCTCTGTCATCCTAACATCCAAACTGGATGGGGATCCCCTGGCTTGTCACTGGCAGAGGGTTGGTTGTTTTGTTGATGCTTTTTTGGACATTTTAATTTTCTACCTTATCATGTCCTAACCAAGGATTACTCAGTTCCCATCTACCAGCATCTGTTTTAAGTTGGGAAAATGGGAATGTTTCATGGAATTTGAGTTCTAATTTCAGTAGTAGTTTAACTTGAGGCATAGAGACAGTTATTTATATAACTTAAGGTTGGAGAAAGCTACCTAAATTTGGGACTTATAAAAAGTGTCTCTCCTCCAGATACTGAAGAGTTCTGTTGAATTAAATAAACTTGTGTGGGTAAAATGAAATCAGTACTTATTATATCTGTATTTTAATGAGAATTGCATAATAATATATTGATGAATTGAAATATATTGTTATTCTTCCCCTACTCTTACCATTTTATAAGTAAACACTCATTTAGCCATTGTGAGTTTTCAGATTTTCTTGGCAGAGTCAAACTTCTCCTTGGTTGACCTGTGGGTTTTAAAAGGTTTTTTATGTACTGACCTGGGCTTGTTTTTGCTCAGTTGTGGCAGAACTGAAGACTTCATCTAAACTCATTTGTTGGTTCCAGGAAATTTTCTTGTTCAAAGCTTATGATCCTGTGGGTAAAAGACAAAAGTTGAAGGCTGTGTAGTCAGTTGGCAATCCTTATTACCAGTTATATTACTCTCCTAGTTTAAAAAAAAAAAAAAAAAAAGTTATTGTCATGGCAAGAGAAGATTTCTTATGTCTAGCTATTAAAACACTTTTCTCAGTTTCCACCCTGAACTTTGTTATGTGGAAAACCTTTTTGTTAGCTTCATTTCACTGAGTATATTAGAGATTGTGTGATGTGATGTAGTTCTTTTATATGACCTTTCTTGCTATGGTCTTGTAACTTTCACCACATGATTGGGTAACGTTATGCAAATAAGGTGATTTTGGCCTACCAGCAGGATTGGGCAGCTTGCTAATAATGCAAATAAACTGCATGTCAGTCTTGTGAGAGTGAGACTGTGCATACAATGTGTGTGGAACCCTAACAAGGGGTTGGTGTGTTTTGATACTCTGTTGGCTTAATAAAATGAGCTGTCCCAGAGGCATAAAGAGGGGACTTCACTACCACCAAGAAAGAATAGCTGGGAGTGGAGCACATCCTTTGGATCCAGGGTCCCTATACCTAAAAACTCCTAGACCCAAGAGATAGAGAGCTGTAGCATGAGAAACGGTGCAAGACAGTAAGAAGCAATGATAAGCATGGTAGAGAACTGGTAGCAACAGAACCAGGAGACTGGCAGGGAATGGCAAGGTTGGCTTCCATCCCAGAGAGTGAGAAAGCTGAGCACCATTGGGCATGATGCTTGCTGGTGGCCTGGGCTGCCTCCAAGCACTTAATGGAGCTAAACTTTCTGACCCATAGAGCTAGAGAGCACCTTTGGCCCGAGGCTTACTATGGGAGGGGATGCCATTGAGCACTTATCAGTGGAGCTAAAGAGCTTTGTAACACTTGCCAGTGCAGCACATATGAGGCCTGAGGGTCCGAAGGGCCATGTTGAGGCCTGCCTATGGTCTCGGAGAAGCTGTCTTGACTGAAGAACTATATCCTGAATCATTCTTCATAATGAATTATAACCTATTTCCTTCCCTAATAAACCCCATAATCATGAGTACTGTGTGTGAGTTCTGTGTGGCCACTGCAGTAAATTATCAAACCCAGCAGAGAAGTTCAAATGCCATGGGAGTGACGGTTGGTGTCAGAACTGGTAAAAAGGTAGGAGGATGGAGGTATGTCTGACTTTCACCTCACAGGAATCAGCTTTAGGCATGTTGATGGTGGTGACTGCTCCCCTCTCCCTTGTAAAGCTAGAGGAGGTCAGATGATACAGCCATCGCACCATTTTTTTCAGGTTGTTCAGTTACGCTTTTCTGATTTAGATGTTTACCAAGTTGTTGTTGTTGTTGTTGTTGTTATGTGCCGTCGAGTCGGCCCCGACTCATAGCGACCCCTCCTTGGGTTTCCGAGGCAGTATCACTACGGAAGTAGGATTGCCCAACCTTTCTTCCGAGGAGTGGCTGGTGGGTTTGAACCGCCAGCCGTCTGGTTAGCAGGCAAGTGTCTTAGCCACTATGCTACCAGAGCTCCCAGATGTTTACCAAGAGGAAAGTAAAAGGCGTGGGTTATTCAGTGAATGCCCCCCTTTACAGGGCTTCCTTAGTATGCATTGCCCTTTTCCATTACAGGGAAATAAATCTCTCTTGTCAAAAAGTTGCTAGTAAGGTGGGCTAAGGCAAAACTTTTCCCTTGGTGTAAGCATAGAAAGTAAGTCAATGTGAGAGAAGAAATGGAAAAGGGACATCTATAGTAATGAGTTACCAATTTTTTTTTCTTGCCTCTAAGTCAGATGAACATGAATATATTCATGCTTGAATATTGGTGAAATCAATACTCTGTAACTATTGAGTGTGATTCATAGTGGCCTTTGCCAGTTTGGTGAAAGAGCATTTACTTCTGTAAACAAAATAGGAATGTTTCTGGAGTTTACTTTTTCTCACTTCACTGGGTTCTTGCGTTTATTCTCTTCATCCGTTCACTGTATTGCTGAACAACTGGCTGAGCAATAATGATACCACTCACATATTTTCAATTCTTGAAAGCTAGCCTCATTGATTTTTCAAATATTTGGCAATATTTTGAACTGCTCTAATTTTGCTTTTGTGATTCTATTATTTAGGAGATGCCAAAATTGGCAATAACAATGTCAGTTCTTTGAAGAATGATGACTTCACCATGAGGGGTTTAAGGCGTGATGGGAATGCTGATGATCTCTGGACTGCCTCACAAAACTCAAAATCCTGTGGGAAAAGCATTTCCATAGAAACTGCTAATTTAAGAGAATATGCTAGATATGTACTGAGAACTATCTGTCAACAGGTAATCTTCAAATTTAATTTACCATTAACTTTGAATATGCAACTCTTCTTTCTGAGAGAGCTGCTTGATTTTGTAGGCAACTTATATGTAGGTGGTAACTTTATTTTGTAATAATTTCAAATTTGCTGAAAAGTTACAAAAATAATAAGAAGTCTAGTACACCCTTTCTATCTATTATTTTTGGAACCTTTCTGCAAATTTGAAATTATTGCAAAATAAAGCCACCATCTGTATACAAGTTAGAATCGACTCAGTGGCAGTGGGTTTGGTTTGGTTTAATATCCCTTTGATGCAGATTCATTTTTTTATGTTTTGCCACACTTTATAATTTTGTTTGTGTGCATATGTGTACATACCTATATTTTTGATGAATCATTGAAAGTAGATAGCATATATCATGCTTCTTTACTTTTCAATACTTCAGTGTGTTCAATGTGTATGTCTTAACATAACCAAAGTATATGGTTATCAAAAATCAGAAAATTTACCATTGATACAGTATTTTTTTCTAATTTATAGGCAATTTTGCAGTTTTGTCAATTGTCCAATAAATGCCCATTATGATGCTATTTTTCCCTTCCAATATAGGCTAAACCTAGAGTCATGTATTGTATTCATTGCATTTAGTTCACATGCATCTTGTTTCCTTTAATTGGGAACAGATTCACAGTCTTTCTTTTTCTTTGATAACGTTGTTATTTTTATCAAATATCATCTTTGGGGAGACACTTTGAGAGAGTGCAAATATTTTGCTCCCTATAAAATTTCATAAACTTCTATATGCTATTGACATCTAAAATAAAAACCCATGGTTTATCATACTAATATTTTATTAACATCATGAGCCCAGAGCTAAGCAGTTGTTGTTGTTGTTGTTGTTATATGCCGTCGAGTCAGCCCTGACTCATAGCGACCCCTCCTTGGGTTTCCGAGGCAGTATCACTACGGAAGTAGGATTGCCCAACCTTCCTTCCGAGGAGTGGCTGGTGGGTTTGAACTGCCAGCCTTCTGGTTAGCAGTCAAGTGCTTTAGCCACTATGCTACCAGAGCTAAGCAGTAGTGATAGTATTATTAAGATCACGTTTTTATTAAGATATATCATAACCATTGTAAAGGAGCTTTATGTTATAGTGGTTATTTAGGCATTTGGTTGCTAACCAAATGGTCAGTAGTTCAAATCTACCAGCCTCTCCACAAAAGATGGGGCAGTGTGCTTCCATAAAGATTTACAGCCTTGGAAACCTTGGAGTTACTATGAATCAGAATCAACTGGACGGCAGTGAGTTTGATACTGGTTTTGGTAACGATTGTACTAGGAGCAAATAGACTCATATTGAAGGCAGCTGTGCATTGGTTTGAAATCACCTGAGGAGTTTTAAAAATAGTTGTGTTCTTAAAAAATAACTGCTAGTCCCACCAATCTGAGATTGATTTAATTGTTCTAAGGTGGGGCCTGGGCATTGGAATTTTTAAAAGCTTCCCCAGGTGATTCTAATGGATAACGAGCATTGCACCACTGGTGTAATAGTTAAGAACAGGGCTTCAAACATGATCATTCAGATTCTCTCCCTTGTTGAGAATTTACGTTTCCACCCCCAGATACACTGAATCAGAATCTATATGTTAACAAATACTGTAAGAATCACCTGGAGATCTTGTTAAAATGTAGATTCTGATTCAGTATTTCTGGGGTGGAAATGCAAATTTTCAGCATGGCAGTTAAACAGGAATGAGCCAGTTAGAAGCCCTAATTAAGAAGCATCTGTTTCATCTGAAACAGATCTGGGTTCAGCTTGGGCTTTGCTGCTGTTCAAAACTGTTTGATGAAATGGAGGTGTCAGCATGTACTCAGTAACTAGGTAACCCTCAAGCACAGTGGCTGTTATTGTTGATGATTTCTTACTCCACTTAGTGTAAGAATTTGGCTTTTAAAGAATGGGAGGTGAAACTGGTAAGATTTTAAATTGATAGATAATTATTCTGGAGAATAATTAGCCAATTACATCAATAGGCTAGATTTTTTGTTACAGCCTTGAACCAGCCATTGCACTGCTATGAAATTACCTTAAGAAAATAGTTATAGATATGTACAAATATTTATATATAACAGTACCAAAAAGGGAGAAAAGTTTCTAAATGTTTAATATTGTGGGATTTGTTATATTATGTTCTGTCAATTCAGGGGACTATAGTACAATGTTATCTATAAAAATAATGAGCACATTATGATGCATATCGTTATTATTAAATGTCTAGTTAAAAAACTCTGGTTACTAAACTGTATCTAGAGCTATGCCCATTTTCTAGTTGAAAACATATCAATATTGACTTCTCTTAATTTTCTTTCCTGTTCTTTTTTTGCATTATCAGTTTTAAAAATTTTTATTTAATGAAAGATTCTACATTTTATTTTTAAGGATTGAAAATGCTACAAATTTTTTTCTTAAAATCTTTCCCACTGATTTTCACATAATTGTTTTTTAATTGAAATATTCTTGTTGGGTTTATATTCTACTGTGTCCTATCAATTTAGTACATATTACATACATATATAAAAAATAATTAATGCCCATCAATCTAACTGCCATTTTATTTTTAGGAATGGGTAGGAGAACATTGTTTAAAAGAACCTGAAAGACTATGTACAGACAAAGAACTGATATTGGATCCTGTGCTTTCAAATATGCAAGCACAGAAGTTACTACAGCTTATCTGTTATCCCCATGGTATCAAAGAATGTACCGAGGGGGACAACCTGCAAAGACAACACATTAAGCGCATTCTTCAGGTAAGTGAGCTATTTGTAGATTGTTCTTCTGTCATTTGAAAGATTGTGTTTACAGTCAGTCCCCAGGTTACGAATGATTGCCATTCATAACTGTGTCTTTAAGAATTTATAGGTAAATCAGCACAGGTGCATATGGTTCTCATTAGCCTTATTTTAGTGAAAGAAGAGGAGCTTTGGTGGCACAGTGATTAAAGCATTCGACTGGTAACCAAAATGTCGGTGGTTCGAACCTACTAGCTACTCCGTACAAGCAAGATGAGGCAGTCTGCTTCCATAAAGATTTACAGCTCTGTAAACCCTGTGAGGCAGTTCTGTCCTGTTCTGTAGGGTTGCTATGATTCATAATCAACTCAATGGCACTGTGGTTTGGCTAGTGTAAGAAAATTCTGGAAACCTTTTCAATGATTAAGAAGCTGCACATGCTGCAATAAAGGTGATTATAATGAAGAATTTATTGAGAGTAGAAGTTGGTTCATCTGTTTCAAAGTATGGGTAAATTTATATAATATTAAAGAACAAGTACAAGTGATCTGTAAGTTAGACTTTCATAACCTAGGTACTTACTGTAGAATGAGAGTTATAGCCTCTCTTTTCTTGTTGTTGCTAGATCATTCCTGATTTCTGTTAGCTCTGATTGTTACTTCCCAATTTTTGGAGCTCTGGTGGTGTAGTGTTTAAGGCATTTGACTGCTAACCAGAAGACTGGCAGTTCAAACCCACCAGCCACTCCTCAGAAGGTTGGGCAATCTACTTCCTTAGTGATACCACCTCAGAAACCCAAGGAGGGTTCACTATGAGTCAGATGATTTTTTTACTTTATGTGTAATTACTATGCTTTCTTGCCAGGTATATACATATATATATATATATATATATATATTTATAATCATCAGATAAGTATTCATAGTCAATACTATATTTACATGAAAAATTAGCTTTGTGGATGGACTGTTTTAAATATACTATTCAAGGTTTGAAACCAATGTGGGATGGGGTTAACAATATGGCTAAATAGATTTTTAGAGAAAAATATTTGCCTCCTTTACTTCCAGTGCTTAGCAGAATCAGGCACATTATTTTAATGTTGTCTTTATTTCTTTGTGTTTATATGGACTGTATCTATAGGCTTAGAAGCCATTCGGTCCATATAAATCACTTTTTGTTCTATTCTTTCTTGAGAGAGGGAATACTATAATAAATTGTTTTAAGACATCTTCAACATTCTAATGTCATAACTCTTTGCATCCCCTCCAGAATCTTGAGCAGTGGACACTGAGGCAGTCTTGGCTAGAACTTCAGTTAATGATCAAACAGTGTCTGAAGGACCCTGTGAGTATATATGGAAAGCATGTATGTATATAGAATTATTAAAAAGCAAATAACATTTTGATGTTTCAAGATAAAGTTAAACATATTTTTGCTAGTTTTCTTATGTCTGACTCCAGGGTTCTGGGTCTGTGGCTGAAATGAACAACTTACTGGACAATATTGCAAAGGCGACAATCGAGGTATTCCAGCAGTCGGCTGATTTAAACAATAACTCTTCTAATTCTGGTATGGGCCTCTTCAACCCAAACAGTATTGGAAGTACTGATACAAGTAGCACAAGACAGAATGGAATAAAGACATTTCTAAGGTATTTTTTTCTATGATTTACTGGGCTGTCATTAATATTCTCACATATAACAATAAATTTTATTTGTGTAATGCAGTTATTTTTTTCCATAAAGCCACAGGAATGTGAAGAAAATAATTACTTCTAAGTGACAATTACTGTTACTTAATAATAAATTAAAGTGTAAACTGGGTGGATGATATCTAGTTATTAGGCTAAACTAGACCCAGACTCTTTGGAACTGTAGATAGTCCTAGGGCTGATGCATTTCTTTACTATCCTGTGCTATTCATTCTGTAGGAAACCCTTTTTCTGTGATTCTTATTAATTGGCAGTTCTGGACAACAATATTATGGAAATTTATGTTCAAAATTAAAAGCAGAAAGCATGTAAAAATCTTAAAGTAACACTTTGATCATGGAAAGCAAATTGAGTTGTATGTCATCATTTTGTTGTAAAGTATAACTGATGAATTTTAAAGCTTTTAAATTGGTCACTACTATGTTTAAATATAGTCAGAAATTTCACTGTGTTGTTGTTGTTATGTGCCGTCGAGTCAGCCCTGACTCATAGCGACCCCTCCTTGGGTTTCCGAGGCAGTATCACTACGGAAGTAGGATTGCCCAACCTTCCTTCCGAGGAGTGGCTGGTGGGTTTGAACCGCCAGCCTTCTGGTTAGCAGTCAAGTGACTTAGCCACTATGCTACCAGAGCTCCCTTTCACTGTGTAGTATGTCAAAATAAATGTACTCTGCTTTGGTAAAATGAACTGTTACTGATCAGAGAGCCAGAAACATGGAAAAACAGTTTTTATAGATTAAAGAAATAGTTATTAGTATGATATCCTCCCAGAACCCCCTTACTGCTCTCCATAGTGTGAGTGGAAAGTATTGCAAATGTATTGTTTTCAAAAGGAAAGTATAGCAATAAAAGAGAAATGTTAGAATTGACTGTGTGGCTTTTGCATAACAGCTTTAGTTTGGAGTTTTTGTTATAGCTGTGACAGTAGAGAAAAAGGATGTTTGGATTTGACAGCTGTTTCTTATTTTAGCTCCTCTGAACGCAGGGGTGTATGGCTGGTGGCCCCCTTGATTGCCAGGCTGCCGACTTCTGTGCAAGGAAGAGTGTTGAAAGCTGCTGGGGAGGAGCTGGAGAAGGGACAGCACCTGGGTTCCTCTTCCAAAAAGGAAAGAGACAGGCAAAAACAGAAAAGGTATGACTTAAAGGTGTGTCTCTATATGTGCAAAAAAAAAAAAATCTAGCATCCTTCAACCATACATGGCTGTTGTACCCAGAGTTCACTGAAATTTGTTTTTTAAATGGAATTGGAGTATACTGTGTTAGACTAGGCTCTGTCCTAAAAAGTTCCAAATGATGATATCCAGTACAGTAGTTCTCAACTCTGACCATGTACGCAAATCACTGCTGACCTTATTAACACTACTTACTGACTTCTGAGCCCCTCTTCAGACTGCCTGAATCAGATCTGGATGCCACCTGGTCTCTGTATTTTAACTGTTTGCCCCTATTTTTATTTATTTAGCTATTTAAGTTTAAAATACATAGAATTGCTTATAATTCTGTTGTTGCTTTTATTTCATGATCCTGGAATATTTACTGATGTTTTTACTATCTAGGGCTCTGATTCCTAGTAAACCTTCTTAGCCTTCAAGTTTGATACTTTCTTAATTTGTTTCATGCCTGAGAAAAAGTTTCAAATAATTTATTTGTGAAGTGACCATGTTCCTGAAAAAGAACAGAACCTCACACTAAAGCCAAAACAGTGAATTTAGCAGTCCAGAAGTGAAGGAAAAAGATGATCATAATTCCTTCCATCTTCTGAAACTCCTAAATGTACAGGTCCTCTAATTAATAATATTTTAGTAGCTGCCATTTACTGACCTATTATAAAAATGCTAGTTCTTGTATAGAACTCATTACATATGTGAGCTTTAAAATCATCAAAGAAATCATAATGTGGCAGCTTCTTTCACTGACTCCTTTTTAGAGATAAGGAAACCAAGACATTGAAAAGGGTAAGTTGCTCAAGTTCACACAGCTGAGAAGTCGCAAAGCTGAGGTTTATACCCAGGCTCTCTGGGTTCTGAGCCTGAGCTCTTAACTGCAGTACATTTCTGTGGACACCTAGCTTTGGATGGGATTTGTTTGCCAGGTGGTTGTTCCACATCTTTTCCAGTATTGTTAACAAGCCAGAAGACTTAATTTTAATTTTCAAAGTTTATTTGCTAATGGGTGGTGTACCTAGCCTCACATCCCAGGGGCGTACAGGTGGTGTTACAGAGACTGTACAGATAGTTTCTTCCAAAGTTAGGGCCTCTCAGTACTGCTGGTAGAAGATGGAGCAGATGGAAATATTTCGGCTTCAACCTCATTTTAAGAAGTTCTTCCACATTAGCACTGTATTTGTCAATATTATTTGTCAGCTGTTCTCTGCTGATAGAAGAAATATTATTAACAATTTGATTTAAAAATAAAATTTCTACCACATGCCTTGAAAGCTGTTTACAAGCCAAGGTTGTGGGATGTGGACACGATAGAGCTACACACTAGAGGTTGCCAATGAGCGCACTATAATGTCTTCAGACCTAGTTTCTGATGTTAGCTCTACCAATACCCAACTGTTTGGTCTTGAAAAATCTGCTGAAATACAGAAGAAAAACAAAATGAAACCACAGCATACATAGAGGCCTGTTTCCTGGACTCTATAAAAAGAGAATTTTTTTCAGGCTTACATTTTATTCTGTGTATATACTGATAATCCTTCTTATGTGTAATTTAAAGTTTTTCCTATTGATATAAAACACAGTTTCCTCAAATCCCTCTCTGCCTCACATGCAGTATGGAATTTGGGAATGCCTTCAAGTGGCAAGAAAACAAACTAACCCCTCTGCCGTCAAGTCAATTCCGACTCATAGCGACCCCCTTTGGGTTTCTGAGGCAGTAAATCTTTACAGAACTAGATTGCCCAGTATTGCTTCCACAGAGTGGCTGGTGGGTTTGAATCACCAGCCTTCCGGTTATCAGTCAGATGCCTTGGGCACTCTGCTACCATTGCTCTTTTCAAGTGGCAAGAGAGCATATTAAATTATTTGGAAGCATTACAGTGGTTTTGAATCTTACTGGTTAGAGATAATGATTTAACTTTTCAAGTAGTCTTTGGCTATTTATTCCTCCCTCCATCTTTTTTCATAGTAAAATAAATAAGAGCAAATAGCTTGAGGGAAAGAAATTAGTGTTGCAACAGGAAGGAATTCATCCTTTCTAACTAAATCTCATGTAATTACTTCCTTTGTAGTATGTCTCTTTTGAGTCAACAGCCTTTCCTCTCATTGGTACTTACCTGCCTTAAGGGACAAGATGAACAACGGGAAGGCCTCCTAACATCTCTCCAGAATCAAGTTAATCAGGTAAAGTATAGTATAATGTTAGGTCAGGAAAACTTCTTTCTAATGGCACCAATTCATTTTCCTTTCAAATTCTGAGATTAAACTAATAAGGACACTACATGTTTTGATTAGATGCTAGGAGATACAATCTATGCACTGTTTTTCCACCTGGCATTCTAAACACCACAATATTAACAGTTGTGTAATAATGATAATTATGCATATAACACCTATGGACTATTAAAGTTCCTCTTGCACATTGCATATGACTTTGCTGTATCTGGTCCTCTCCATCTCTGCCTTTTGAAAAAGGACTGAGAGAAAGCTGTATGCAGTATGGAAGGCAACAAGACAGATGAGCCTGTGTCTAGCTCTGCATCAGGCAAGGTCTGGACTTGAGCTCTTTAGGTTCAGAAACTCAACTTTATTTGCCTTTCAGAGCCAGATGAATGCCAGCCATGTGCACATACACCAAAAATAAAACAAACCTTTTGATTGACAAGTTTATTCTGTCTCATGGTGATCAGATTGTGAGTAGAGCTGCTCCATAGGGTTTTCAATGGCTGTAATCTTTCAGAAGCAGATTGCCAGACCTTTCTCCCGAGGTATTTCTAGTCCTATTTGAACCACCAACCTTTTAGTCAGTCACAGAATATTTAGCTGTTTGTACCATTCAGGGATTCCTTTGTGTACTCATTTAGAAATCAAAAGGCATTTTCAAAGGATTTGGACTTTGCCTTTTTTCTAACCAGAATTTTCCTGGGCACTATTTGAGACATTTGCATTCTGTGTGACCCAGAATAGAAATTGAGTGTGTGGAATCTGAGCAAAGTGGGTTGAGTGATCACATGAGATATTATCCTCACAGTTCAGAGCCTAATGGACCCTTCCTTGTGGCACTGTCTGTGGAGCCTGACATTGTGTCTTTCCCTTGAGTGGTCCTGGATGGGCAAGCACACAGACACTTGGTCTTTTCCAGCCTCCTTAAGGGAGCTGTTCTCTCAATAGCAACAAGGTCAATCCTTTTTAAATGTAAATCACATCATCTTGCTCTCATGCCTAAAATGCTCTTACTCTATCTAGGAAAAAAAGTTCACAGCCTGAGTTTATCAGGCCCTACAGGGTCTGGTCTGGCTCCTTTTCCTACTTAATTTCCTACCAGTCTTTGCCTTGCTCACTCCACTCTTGTCACAGTAGCCATCCTGCTATTGCTTAAATTAAAGCAAGTTCTCCTTTCTGTGCTTTTCCATCTTTTCTTCTCTTTGCCTGGAAGGCTCACTCCCTCACTTGAGGTCTCCACTCAGATGTCACCTCCTTAGAGAGGTCTTCCCTAGTCATCCTCTAAAATTGGAACCCTGCCATTCTCTGTCCCCTTGCCTTGCTTCTTACACTTTTCATATTTGCTTATTATTTATATGCTGTTTTCTATATGCTGTTTTTCCCACTATTAGGATGTAAGCTCCATGACAGCTAAGGTGTACTGATAGCTACCTCTCAGCCTTAATTCAGAATTGGTAGAGACGTGTATCTCTTGCTGAGATTTGGAAAATGTTCTCTGACCATACAGTATACTAAAAGTCATCTGCTGAGCTGTGCTATTTCTGCATATAATTCATTTCAACTCCTTTAAAGATAATTCTCAACTGCCAGCACTTCAGAGCATGGCAAGATTTTTTTTGTGTATGTGTCCATGTCATCAGATTCTGGGGTGTTGCCCATTTGTGGTTTGCCTTTCTGAGTGGCCTGCCATTAGTCTTAGTTGATGAGGATGCATCCTACTTTCTATGCTGATATGCTGCTTGGCTGATATCTAAGGTACCATGGTTTTTCAAGGTAGTATATGTTTTCTTTATCAAGGAACACAAGTGCACAAGCTCCATCTAGAAATATAATACAGGACTGGTAGACAATATAGTTATATATCTTCAATACTTATCTTCATAAGACCAGTAGAAAAATGTATTCAACAAATAAATCTTTGTTTTAGATAATGTTTAACTTGATTACTCTCTAAAGCATTTTTCAGAGTTAGTAACAGGAAACAAACCTATATTCAGTTTTTTTCCCCACCTGCAGATGTAAATAAGCATTTACAGAGTTCTGTCAAATGGAGAAAAGAAAAACATTGAGTAGTATTTTAAATTTCTTTTTAGCTTTATTTGTTAATTTGTTAAAGCAGAGACGTTGCTTTAGACTGCCAGGGTAAAGCTCAATTCAACATTAGGGGAGAGTATAATCCAATTTTAATAGGGAAAACAAATTTATTATTTGTTTGTTTGGTTTTGATCTTAGATTTTAAGTAACTGGAGAGAAGAACGGTACCAAGATGATATAAAAGCACGGCAGATGATGCATGAGGCATTGCAACTTCGTCTGAATTTGGTAAGACATTTCGAGTACTTTTCCCCCATTAACCTTCTACAAATAGGAAAATAACTCAGGCTTCCACTTTCTACAAAGGCTGTGCAATAAAGTGAGATCTTCTACTGTTTGGTCTTTGCAACTACTTCCTGTCTCTCAAGCATTCTCTTTTCCTTTCTGCTTTCCTTCCTGTCTGGTCTGTCTGCTAGTAGTAGATATTTTAGGCATTCATTTGCACTCTTGCCCAACCCTCACCCCAAGAACTCTCTCCCCTTCAGTTTGTGCTAGGAGTATGTCAGAGATATGTTCATTTTAACTGTGTTTTTTTAAACAAATGTCCGTCGAGTCAATATTTTGTTAAAACTTTCCATCAAGTTGATCATTGAAAAACAAATTCTACCACAAGATGGCACAGAAATTTAACATTTTTCACCCATTGCACATTCCTTTGTATTCTTCCTTTCCCACTGGACAAGCCCAAATGAAAGCTACTATGGAGGTTGGCTTGCCTAATATTTTGGTGGTGGTTTTTAACCCAGTCCCTACTATGAGCTGGTAGACCTGTTGCCTAAACCTCCTGCCCATCCTTATTTCTGTGATTCTGGATATTCCAGCTGTTAGGATTGCAGATTCAATCTTAATCAAAGCTGAAGATAACCAGTTACGTAGTTTTACGTTGTTCACATTTAATTCAGGTACATTTATATCATCAAAGTGGATATCCTGAAACATTAGCAATAAAAGAAAACCTACCACAGGCATATAATTCACATTGATGTTGTTCACACATCCTGACATCATACTTTTAGTCCTTTTTTAAGTCCTTTATGAATTTCTAGTCACATGGTCCTCAAATGAAAAATATACTAGAGCTTGGCTCATAGAAAACAGTTAACCTCCTCCTATCCACCCTACCCCCAACTTCCATAAAGAACTTCTTTGTTCTTCCATGGAATGATCAAGTTCCTGTGATAAAGACACTAAAAAGAGTGAAAGGACAAATATGTAGCTGTAAGAGAAAGAAGACAGAATAATCCATAAACTAGAGTCTGTTTTTTTTTTTTAACTAATAAAATTTGGCTACATAAAGTGATGGGGATGGGGGAATTTTTTTTTCTCTTTACCAGAATGTGATTTTTTTTTTTTTTTTAACTTGTTTTTTGTATGCCAGGTAGGAGGAATGTTTGATACGGTACAAAGAAGTACCCAGTGGACAACAGACTGGGCCCTCCTACTCCTTCAAATAATTACTTCAGGAACTGTTGACATACATACTAACAAGTAGGTTTTTAACATTTCAAATTCATTTCCTGCATGTGTGCATAGTAAAAACTTTGACGTGTTGTTGTTGTTAGATGCCATTGAATTGGTTCCAATTCATAGCAACCTCATGTGACAGAACTGCCCCATAGGGTTTCCTAGGCTGTAATCTTGATGGGAGCAGAGTAGTAGGTCTCCCTCCCATGGAGCTGCTGGGTGAGTTGGAACCTCCAACTTTTCTCTTAGCAGCCGAGAGCTTAACTGTAGCACCACCAGGGCTCCTTAAACTTTGCTATCTGGCTGCTAATTCTGCCACATCTTGTTTTCTTAGATAACATTACAAATTCTGTGCCTTGAATAAACATACTTAGTTAATTAAGTATATCTTGGTTTTGCTTTAAGATGAAAACAATTATTTTCTTTCACCTTAGTGAATTATTCACAACAGTTCTTGACATGCTGGGTGTTTTAATCAATGGAACATTAGCCTCTGACCTGTCAAGTGCATCCCCAGGGGGATCTGAAGAGAACAAACGTGCATACATGAATTTAGTAAAGAAACTGAAAGTAAGTGTGTGATCGTTTGTCTTATGAATGCAAACTGTTTATAGATTTGTTACAGTATTTTTATTCTAAGTTACTACTCATTAAATTAAATGTTATTTATTGCATCTGACTTAATTTAATTTTTTTTCACTCTCAGATTACCAAAAAAAACACCAAAACCCACCATTATTGAGTAGAATCTGACTCATAGCGACCCCCATTGGGTTTCTAAGGCAGTAAATCTTTATGGAAGTAGATTGCCCCATCTTCCTTCCATGAATCGGCTTTGGGTTTGTACTTCCAGCCTTCTGGCTAGCAGTTAGATGCCTAAGGCATTGCACCACCAGAGCTCCTTCTCAGATTACCATTATCCCAAAGTTATAAGCATGCAGTCTTCAAGAATTTTTAAAAATAAGTTCATTTACAACATATTTCATTTTTTAAAGAACTTTCGAAATCCATGATCAAATACATAAGCAAAATGTCAACATTGGATTTAGGCGGAAACTATGCTTGGACTGGCATGTGTAGTTGAAAGCCATTTTCATTGATCTTTCTAAATCTAATTCATTTGATTAAGCACTAACAGAACCTTGGAAATAAATGATAACCAAACAGCAGGAAAAGAAAATCAACATATCTGATTATTTTAACCGATATAATAACCAACAGTTACCTTGTAATGTGACCCTGGATGCAAGAAAGTGTTTCTTCCATGTTGTAGCTCCTGCCTTCTGATTGTGAACACTACCCTGGATTTTTGTCATTTCAGCACTATGAAGTTTGTTGTGTGTTCTATTTTCTACTTAAATAGAAGAAATGAAACATACTCTTCCCTCAAATTTCGAACTGCTTCTTAGACCATGATTAAGGTTAAGGAACATGCTAGCTATCAAAAAGGAAATGTCTCATAGGAGAACTTCCTTCTTAATAACTTTGGCCTTCATTGTAATTTCCATCCTACTTCTCTTTTTTTTTTTTTCTTTAGAAAGAGCTAGGAGACAAGCGGTCAGAAAGCATTGACAAAGTTCGACAGTTGCTACCTTTGCCGAAACAGACATGTGATGTCATCACTTGTGAGCCTATGGGTTCTTTGATTGATACAAAAGGAAACAAAATTGCTGGATTTGACTCTATAGATAAAAAACAGGCAAGAGTAAATGTTTTTCTTCTCATATAAAAATGCATCAGCTTATGAAAATCAACCTTTTATCTTCCTAAAATGTCTCAATTTTGTAGTTCCTTGATTTTTTGAAAGTTACTTTTATCATTTAAATGCAGTGGTAATTGTCATTATCATATAAATAGGGCAAATCTACATAGCTCTTCATTGAAAATTTTATCTGAATGTGCGTATGTTTATGAAGTATGCCAAGAATGCTAAGTAAAAATTTACTGTGAAGGAAAAATGAGAAAAAAGTGAAGACCAGTTCTACTTTTACTGCAGAATAAGAAGCAGAGTATATTAAAAATAAACAAAACCAAACCCACTGACATCAACTCAATCCTGACTCATAGGAACACCCATAGGGTTTCCTAGGTGGTAAATCTTTACGGAAGTAGATTGCCCCATCTTCCTTTCGCAGAACAGCTGGTGCATTTGAGCCTTCTGGTTAGCAGTCACATGCCTTAGGCACTGAACCACCAGAGCTCCTAGATTTAGATAAGACAATTTTATAATAAAGATCTTTGTGTAGAAAGCTATCCTCAGTAAAGCAATACCTTAAATGTGATGGTATTTGCTATTCTAATCAGTCAAATAATATATAATGAACTCTTGTTTCACGTGAGATATTAAGTAAGGTTCTATGAATTGTGAGAAGAGCGATCAGTTATCTTTCAGTGAATACTGACTAACCACAGACATTCTGCAGTCACAGATGAAAGGGGAGCTTCTACCCTCAAGCGGAAGTCATAGGCAATTAAAGTGTGATGAGATTTGTGTGTCATGACAGAGTATTGTGGAGACATATGAGAAGGAGAGATAGTCAAAGCAGAGTCTCCAGAAGAGTTGATATTTTGAAGGAAACGAGTAGCTAGGAGGTAGAGAAAAGCGTGGTACAGGCAAAAAAAAGAGTTTATGCAGAGACATCAGAGAACACAGCTCATAGGGAAATGCAATGCTGCAGTACCTCAGAATAGCCTGAGTACCTCATACCAGGGGCTTGTGGTGAGAGAAAAGCTAAAGTCACAGACAAATAGAGTTTACATTGCCTGTGGGCCTTCTAGTGGGGAGATAGCTGGACGCTATTAGGATCTGTGGTCGTGGACCCAAGAGAGAGCTACTCTCAGGGCAGATACTAGGAAAACAGTCAATTTACAGGTGGTGTTTGGCCTTGGTTTGGATGAAGGCACCCATAGAAGAGTGTGTGTAGATAAAATAGAAGGACATACATCTTCAGGAATACCTAAATAGTTATTTTCAGGACAATTTTAAAGAAAAATAGTTTCAAATCAGTATGCTAAGGAAAGTACCAAGAGACAAAAAAATTAAAGGAAATTTTAATTAATAAGAAATTTTTATTTTCGAAAACAGAATAACATTTCATCTTCTAGACTCTAGTTCTAGAATAGCTTGATTTGAAAGCTTTTTTATGTACCTGTTGCTACATGTTAATTCTATAATTATATTACTTAACCATTCAGAGACTGGCTTATTAAATACATAAAAGGTCTCTGTATTGAATCAAGTTTATACAGGTTTAGCTTGAAGTTAACATGAGCGCAGTTAGAGGACAACTGTATTTTGACCCTTATGCTTTTGTACTTTCTTAAATATAATAAATCGATTCCAGAGATTTATAATTGATTATAATTTAGTACTATAATATCAACTTTGCAGTGTTTGTAAGAACAATGATATATATATATATATATATATATTTCAACTCATATATATTAAAGTGTGTGTGTGTGTATACACTAAACACATAAACTAACTCCATAAAAATGCCATTTTATAGTAGAATATACAGATTTATCTAGTGTTATAGGAATCCCTGGGTGGTACAAATACTTAAGCGCTCAGCTACTAACCAAAAGGTTGGTAGCTTGAATTTGTCTAGAGATGCTTTGGAAGAAGGCCTTGGCAGTCTGCCTCAGAAAGCTCACAGACGTTGCAAACCCAGGGGAGCACAGTTGTACTCTGAAACATGAGTTTTTCATGAGTTGGAATCGACTCACTGGCAACTGGTAGTCTGGTGTTACAGCTTGAACATAGCATAATATGGAGTAAAGAATTACAGAATTGAACTTAAAATTCTTAATTCTCCCCACTCACTGCTCTACAGCAATCTAGTTGTATAACCCTGGGCATAATAGTTAACCTCTCTGCTATATGCCAAGGCCCACATCAGCTAAAATGTTCTCTGATTCCATGTCCTAATCAAACCTGGCCTATGAATCAGAAGATCTGAACATGTTATCATAGAGTATTATTTTACCTCAGGGTCTCCAGGTATCTACGAAGCAGAAGGTGTCCCCATGGGATTTGTTTGAGGGTCAGAAGAACCCAGCTCCTCTTTCCTGGGCCTGGTTTGGGACTGTCCGAGTAGACCGAAAGGTGATCAAGTATGAGGAGCAGCATCACCTCCTTTTGTATCATACACACCCCATGCCCAAGCCCCGAAGTTACTACCTCGAGCCACTGCCCCTGCCTCCCGAGGAGGAAGAGGAAGAGCCCACGTCTCCCATCTCTCAGGAACCAGAAAGGAAATCAGCTGAGCTGTCAGATCAGGGAAAAACCACAATGGATGAAGAGAAGAAAACAAAGGGAAGGAAGCGCAAGACGAAATCAAGCTCCAGGGTTGATGTAAGTACAGAAGTATAGAGAATTTTGACTCATGAGTATCTGTTGTGAGATTTGCTAGTTCCCACATCATATCCCCCAGAAGGATAGCTAAGAAGAGTATAAACTTTGTTAGATCAGGGATCCCAACAAGGCCCTGTTGTTAGTAACTGAATTGGGATACCAACAGTGACATGTCACTGAACACAGGACTGTAGCTGTTTTATTTTCCTTCTTCTACTTTTAATAATTCTATTTAATTTTGGCCTTTCATTGTGAATACTGTTTAGTCAAATAAGCTAAATGCCTCATAACTTTTTGGGTTTGTAACTTGAAATTTTTAGAGCCATAAAATCCCACTCTCTTATATATTTTTATTATTAGGCATGCCTGAAATACTTACAGCATGTTGGAGACTGGTTTCTGCAGTAAGTTAACGTAACAACTGTTTGTTCCTCCCTAGATAAAGCTCTAATACATCCAATAGGATGTTTCTGAGATAATATATTTGCCATATTTTCAGACTATGTAAAAGATGAACCTAATTTAAAATAGTTTAACTTCTTGCTTTACTAGTAGTAGTACTCCCTACGTGTAGCAACATTATCTTCAACAGGATCTATGAGATGGGAATTCAGAAATATTTTCATAGAACTTGATAATTAATTTTTAAAATATCTCTCCATTTAATTTCATTTTAAAAATGCTTGAGAGATGAATTTTGACCTTTCTTTCTACAAAATTCAAGGATATCCTTGCTGCAATGAGTAAGAACTACTCTTAAAGTCAGTGTTTAGACATTTGTAACAAATTATTGTTTGTTTTTTATTTTTTATCACAGTTTCTGTAAAAGTTTGCAGAGCAAATTAGTTTTCCATTCAACAATTTATGGGTTTTGTTTCGTGACATTGGTTTTAATCCCCTAATGTAACAGCACTCTTACCACTTATTTCCTGGGTTCCCCGTATCCATGCTTCCTTCTTTCCTGCTCTTTCTTGCCTTTTGAGCTTTGCTTTTGAGCACACACTTCCCTTTTGGTCCCATATGATTAATTATACTGAGAAGCACATTTCTCCCTTGTGTTATTATTCACTTTATAGGCTCTCTATTATTTGGCTGAAAGTTGAGCCACTGGGTGTGTTCAGTCAGTTCCAGGCTTGAAGGGTTCCTAAGGGCCACAGTCTTGGGGGTTCCACCAGTTTCTGTCAAACCAGTAGGTCTGGTCTTTTTTGTGATTTGGGATTTTGTTCTTTCTTTCCTCCCTCTCTGTCTAGAACTTTCTATTGTGATCCTGATCACAGTGGTCGATAGCGATAGTCAGGTACCATCCAGTTCTTCTGGTCTCAAAGGACTGGATGCTGTGGTTACCAAGGCCCATTAGTTCTTTGGACTGTTTCCTTGAGTGTTTGATTTTCTTCACTCTTTTTTGCTCAGGATGATGAGAGACCAATAGTTACACCTTAGATGGCTGCTTACAAGCTTTTAAGACCCAGTTGCTGCTCATCAAAGTAAGATGTAGGACATTGTCTTTGTGGACTGTGTTATACAATTGACCTAGGTGTTCCCCAAGAGTGTGGTCCTAAGTCCCTAAGCCCAGTGAGTCATTCCCTCAAGGTGTTTGGTGATGGCTAAGAAGTTTTGAGAACTTTGTCCCCTGTATGCTCTATAATATCTTTGGATGTATTTACAGCATGTATAAATACGTATGTAGAAATACCCTCTGCCAAACCTGTGTATACTCATGAGTATTCTCCCATTCATCACCTTCCCACATCTTTCAGCTTGCATGTCTACCTATATATCTACTCATAGATGTTGTTAATTATCACTATTGTAGGATTGTGTATGTATTAGTTTTTACCTTTGTTGTCTTTTACGCCTATGCACCTCCCTGTGATTTCCTTTGCCATTGGTCATGTTGTGCTACGTCTCCCTTTATTGTATATTGCCTTTCTTGTCTCCCACATTAATTCATGTGTACTCTCAAGTTAGTGATTTGCGTTCCCTTCCCCTCCTGCTGCTGGTAATAATCAAAGAATGTTTCTTTCTGTATGTAAACTTTTTCTTGACTTTTTATAATGGTGGTCTTGTACAATATTTGTCCTTTGATGATTGACTTACTTCACTCAGCGTAATGTCCTCCAGGATAATCCATGTTCTGAGGTGTTGCCTGGATTTTCCATTATTCTTAAATGTTGGGTAGTATTCCATTGTGAATATGTACCATAGTTTATCTATTCATCCGTTGATGGATACATAGATTGTTTACATCTTTTTGCTATTGTGAATAGTGCTGCGATGAATAGAGGTGTATTTCTGTTTGTGTCAGAGCTCTTACTTCTGTGGTATATATGTACCTAGTAGTGGGATTGCTGGATCATAGGGTATTTCTTTTTCCAACTTTTTAAGGGTGTGCCATACCATTTTCCACAGTGGTTGTAGCAATTTACAGTCCCACCAGCAGTGTAAGTGAGTTTCAATCTCTCCACACCCTCATCAGTGTTTGTTGCTTTCTATAATTTTAAACTTCACTGTTATTGTTGGGGTGAGATGATACCGCATTTTTGTTTTGGTAGGCATCTCTTTAATGTCTAATGATCAGAGGCACTTCTTCATGAGTTTGTTGGCCATATGTGTGTCTTCTTTGGTAAAGTTTCTGTTCATGTCCTTGGGCAAATTTCAATTGGATTGTTTGTCTTTTTGTTGTTGAGGTATTGAAACTGTAAGTTTTAGAGATTAGTTCTTTGTCAGAGTTGTCAAATTTTTTCCCCAGTCTGTAGGTTCTCTGTTTACTGTTTTGGAGAAATCTTTTGATGCACCTAAGTATTTAATTTTTAGGAGGTCCCAGTTGTCTAGGTTACCTTCTACTGTTTGTGAATTTTATTTATGTTTGGTAGTATTTTTATGCCATAAATTAGAGCTTCTAAGTTGCCCCTAAGAAGCTCTAGTGATGCAGTGGTAAAGGCATTGGATTGCTAACCAAAAAGTCAGTAGTTTCAACCTATTACATGCCCTGTGGAAGAAAGATGAGGCAGTCCACTTGTGTAAAGATTTACAACCTTGAGAACCCAGTGGGGTAACTGTAAGTCATAATTGACTTGATGACAATGAGTTTGGTCTCTGATCATTTAGATCTTTGATCTGTATTGAGTTAGTTTTTGTATATGGTATGATATATGAATCCTGTTTCATTTTTCTGCAAACATATATCCAATTTTGCCAGAACCATTTGTTAAAGAGACTACTTCTTTCCCATTTAATGGATCAGTTTTTTGTCCAAAATTGCTTACCCATATCAAAACCAAAACGTACCTTTTCCTAGCTGATAGATTGATGAATAATGTTATGTAGAAATGACCACCATCACTGTTGGATGCTACTTGAACTTCAGTGATCTCTCATTCAGTCTTTCTGCCATATTTATTTGTCTTGAAGGGATGCTCAGTAAGATCCAGATCAGCATTCCTGCAGTCTGGCATCAGAGTCACTCCATGTGCAAGGTTGTCTGCCCTTTACAGATGCAAAAGGCTTGAAGCCCATCTCATTTCCCATTGTTCCTCCTCCTCCCTTGCTATTCCTAAAGCTGCCTCTTCCCATTGAGATACATTCTTTGGTAAAATCACAAGGGCTCAGCTGCTAACCAAAAGGGTAGCAGTTCAAACCCACCCAGTGCTTCTGTGGGAAAAAGATCTGGTGATCTTCCTTCTTAATGGTTACAGCCAAGAAACCCTATGCAGCAATTTTATTCTGTCACATAGGTCATCATGAGTCACAAATTGACTTGATAGCAGTTAACATCATGTAGAGCTAGACTAGAGAAGAGATGATGGAGGGAGAATTGAGACATCTAGATATGATACTTGGAGACTTTTTAGCTGCTATAAGGAAGAAGAAGCAAGGGAGTCGGGCTTAGGGATGGTGTCATTTTTGGAAGTAAGATACCTGGTTCTAAAGTATCCTCAGGCCTTTCTGATTCTTACATAGACTTACGGTAGTCAGGAAGGTCTTCTAAGACTAAATGATCAAGAAACCTAGCAACTGATGATACTGATTCAGCTGTAGAGGTTGTTAAGTACTAGTATTATAAATGTGCTTTTAGTATTGTAGTAAGAAAGTTCAGAAGAGCTCTTTTTCTATCCCTCTACTCCTACCCCAGTCTAAGCACATTTTAAGTCAAGTAAAAGTTTTAATTCAAATGGATGTTTTGCAGAGAATGTATTGACCCTCTTGACTTCTGTCTTCCCCGTTATATATAGAAGGATTTGCATTACTTATTTATGTGGAATTAAGTAACTTTTTTCTTTTCAACTTTATATTGAAGGAATATCCGCAGAGCAGCATTTACCGAGTGCCTCCTAATTACTCACCCATTTCCTCCCAAATGATGCATCATCCGCAGTCCACTTTATGGGGTTACAACCTCATGGGCCAGCCCCAACAGCCTGGCTTTTTCCTTCAGAATCAATCTCTTACTCCAGGTATGTGTAAAGACAGTACCATATCTCTCTAAGATGAGGAAGAACTTGGGATTTTCTTTGCTTTGAACCTTGGAGATTTGAAGAACTTAATGATCAGTAGACATTTCTGTAATTCCCTCCACTCAAAAAAATTTATTTTCTTTCTTCCTCTAAAAGAAGATCTTTGTTACAAGTTTATTTAGTAAGTTTGAGTTTTCAGTGTTGGAAGGAAATTAGGAGCTATAAAGTTAATAATGTTTTTATGTTGTTAAATTTGTGTCCTTTTTAATGAGATGTAATTCTTATTAGTGCTTTAAATTATGAGACAGTATTTCACAGTCTCTTTCATTGTTTTCTTATGTGGTGAGTTTTAAATTGATTATATCATGAAGCATCTCAGAAATTTAGTTCAGCAAGTAAATTTAGGTATTAACAATGAAAGCACCATATGCAAAGTAAACGTTTATGCATTTAGTATTGCTTTGGTTCAAACCAAAGTAGATTTTATTTCCCAAATGGTTTTAATTCCCTAATGTAACAGCACTCTTACCACTTCCTTCCTGGGTTCCCTGTATCCATGCTTCCTTCTTTACTAAATAAAATCTCTCTTAATTGGAAATTAATTTAATTTTCTTTTTAAATGGAAGTTTGCCTATTTGAGCAAAATAGGTTATTATAAAATTTCAATCTACCTTACTTTAGAATGTGGCATCATAACAATTTTTTTCTTTATTACATCCTGTGCTTTGCTGTGATTCTTAATTGTAACTTTATATGGCATTTGGAAGCCTAGGGATATAGTGATGAAAATAATTTGATTCATGGATTATAGCAAAAAAGGATCCATATTTTGTCCTGTAAATTGTGGATGAGAGTCTGGGATTTCAAGTATCTATGTTCTAATCTGACTCTACCACTTTTACTGTGTAATCTTGGCCAGGTCTTAATTTCAGTGTGCCTCAGTTTGTTCATCTGTAAAACGGACATAACAATATCTACCCTCATTGAGGGGTTCATTCATTTCTTCAGCAAAATCTATTAAACTTTATGATGTGCCTGTTTTGGGTGCTGGGATATTGGAGTGACCAAAATGGACAAAAATCCCTCATTTTAACAGATGGAACAAGCCTGGATCATATATACACATATGTGTGTGTGTGTGTGTGTGTATTACTTAAAGTAAATAAAGGAAAATACAGCACTTAGAAGATGGCCTAATACTGTACATTTTCAATAGATGATATTGATATATTCTACCCTCAGGGCTTTTGCACATGCTGGTTCCTGTGTCTGCAGTGTTGTTCCCTCACATCTACAGGCCTCAATGCCCGACTGCCATGGAGTTTCTGGTCAAATACCTTTTGCTCAGTGAGACCTCCACTCACCACCTGTTGTAAACCACGTGCCTTCCCTGTACTTTCTATCTTCCCCTTCTTCCTGTTTCTCAGTAGCACTCAGAACTTACTTACAGATTGTATTTTTTTTTTTTTTTTTTGCCTATGCTAGAATGTAAGCTCTGTGAGGGGAGATTTTGTTTTGTTTTGTTTTCTGTTGTGTTCACTCCAGTATCCTCAGAACATGGAGCAAGTACTTAGAAAATATGTTGTGGAATGAATGAATGTAGACTAAAAGAACAAATAAGACTTAATGATAAATGTGAAAAATAATACACTGTTGTCCTCTCTTTTGACTTTCTACTTTAATTTGAAGGTTCTTGGACATTTTATAATGATTTCAAACTTTGCAGATGGTCAAGTGAAACACAATGATTATCTATAAATTGAAAACTCACTGTTTTGTAAAAAGCACCCACCATTTCCCCCCTAGAATACGCTCTCTAAAAGTTGTTTATAAGTTTGAGGAAATTGAAGAACTTTTAGATATTAGTTAAGTTTTAAGTATGATATGTAAAAAATATCATAAGGAAATTATATATGATGATGTTACATTAATGAATTCATAGATTTTCATAAAAACGAAGTTCTCTGGAGTTGCCAAAGAATACCTACAGTATGATTCATATTATATAGAGTTAAAATGCATCCTCCTCCCCTCTTTATAAATTATGCAACTCTTAACAGATTTTTGATATTTGCAGGGGATGGGACAAGTACGTTTTTATTATATAGGCTTGGAAAGTGAAGTTTCTGCATTTTGACAAAATAAGGAAGACCTGTTGCATTAGCATACTTAAAAAGCCTTTCTTTCTGGTTGCTTTTGTAGGTGGCTCCAGACTGGACCCTGCGGGTTCCTTTGTCCCCACAAACACCAAACAAGCACTGTCAAACATGCTGCAGCGGCGCTCAGGTGCCATGATGCAGCCACCTGCCCTCCATGCGATCACATCGCAGCAGCAGCTGATACAGATGAAGCTTCTGCAGCAGCAGCAGCAGCAGCAGCAGCAGCGGCTTCTCAGGCAAGCCCAGACTCCACCTTTCCAACAGGTTTGTCTAGATCCAGCAATGGAGTCCTCTGTTTTTTATTGCCTCCTCTAGCTGGGGATGAATTGGGGCATGTAGCATATTCTTGGTGTGTACATATCTATGTTTGCACATGTGAGTGCAGGTATGTCTTATACAGTTTATAAATACGCTTTCTTTGTGTACTTTACTGTTATTATTGACCAAATAAGAACACTAAATATCTTAGAATTACTAAAGCATGCTTAAAGCAAAAAGAAGAGGTAATGACTTTTTCATCAATTAAAAGTAGGCCTTTCACCTCCAGGTAACCCTCTCTGAGCACATATTCCCTATTATAAAAACTGCTATATTCTATACACCTTTTACCTCTACTTTCCTTTATTATTTTTTAGATTTATTGCTTTGAGATGGTATCACTTAAGCCCCTGATGTTTCTTAAGTTCTCTCCTACAGTGTTGTGCACAGACTTTATTTTTAGAGTCTACTTAATAAGATCTATAGCAGAGAGTGAAGAAATTACAAATAACAGGCAGTATATTGATACATTCAACTTAATTCTTGATTTATATTATTTCTATTTTTATACTGTATAATGCAGTTATTTTTAACTTTTTAGATGGCAGTGATTATGCTTAACAAAATAGCTGTGGAAATCTCACAAAAACTAGTAAGACTCATGAAAATCATGAATCTATATAAATACATTAATATTAAAAAGGAAATGTGGTTTGTGCCTACTTTTTCTAGTTTATTCATAGTTTTTTAAATATTTTTTAGTTTTTCTAACATGGGAATGCACTATTAATAAGGATAGTAGTAATAGCTAACACTAATAGAGCACTTACTATATGCCAAAGCAGTTCTAAGTACTTTCAGTTTACTTAAATCCCACAACTCCCTTATGAGGTAAGTACTTTTATGATCCTCAAATGGACTTAACCCAATCTACAGGTGTGTCCAGCTCTAAGAAAAACACAAAGCTTTGTAAATAACAAGAGACTTTAATGCCTTTTCACATATTCTTTGTATGATTATGTTCTAGGCATGGAGGCTATAGAATTTCTTGTACTTCTGCATTCAGGCCACAGAGTCATATTTAGGGGGTAGTGAGATGGTCATGCATTCTTGAAAACTGTGAATTTTTAAACTGAATTATAAGAAGGACAGGGGAGAGTAAACCAGTTGAGCTGCATGAGAATGCAAATGACAGTCACCATATGCTTCTCTGTCTTTCTCTGACTTCTAGCAAATGGTCTAACACCTTGGGTGTCAGGTAAGATGGGCCTGAGCTGCTGCTTACACATAGATTATGAGAACTTGATTAAAACATGTATTAAAAGTTCATTGATTTTCCTTAAATAGTATATTTGGAGCCATTTAAAACCTTAGTAGGATTTTAGTTTTTATTATTGTTGTTGTTGTTAGGTGCCGTCGAGTTGTCTCCAATTCATAGCGACCCTATGTACGGCAGAACGAAACACTGCCCAGTCCTGTGCCAGCTCCACAATCCTTGTTACATATTTATTGGAGTAAGCAAAAGTAGTAGTGCCATTGCTTCAAATCCTTCTTGAAATAAATTTTTTAAAAATTGCAAAGAGTTGAGAAACTTTCCTGAGAGAATGTATCAGCCACCTTTTAAAGTAATTAAGCCTAAGTTAAAATCTGCTTTCCCAGAAGTAAATTTATTTTTTTCATGTCTACTTTTTTGGCATGAAAAAAATAAATTTACGGCACATAACAACAACAACAAAACTTTTCTGGCAGAAGTGGTAATTTTCCATATTCATAGCCCTTCAAATAGTTAACTGCTAAATTCAGTTTTTAGTTACTGTAACTAGATCCTTCAATTGGGGAAAAGTCCACTGGGCATTTGCAGGTAAACATGCCTATCCTCAAATGGTTCACTTTCTGATACAAGCCATGCCAATTTCCTCTAAAGCAAGCTTGGGAAAAAAAAAAAAAAAGGAATTTACTAGAATAATCTACTTGTACTTAAAGATATCGTTGCATGTTAGGAGAAGGCAGCATTTATAACCTACAAAGTATAAGATCTCCATTACTCCACACTTTCAAACTGCTCATAATACTTCACTCTATTCTGTTATCCACCTATAGAAGAACTAATGGGAATTACCTGACCTTCATTCTTTTCCTTACTGATTCTTTCGTGCCAACTCTGTCGTTACTTGGAGTTTTGTTTGTTTGTTTTTTTTTTTTTTTT